GATTAAGAGACATTTTGGGCTTCACAGGCCACACAGTCTCTGTAGCAGCTATTTGACTCTGCCATAAGCACAAAGCAGCCACATAAATGAATGGGCTTGGTTGTGATCCAAGGAAACCTTATTTACAGAAACAGGTGGCGCTCTGGAGTTGGCCTGCCAGCCAGAGTTGCCAACTCCTGATTTAGCACAATGCCTGGCATATAGTAGGTGCTCATATATTGAATGAATGAATGAGTGAATGAACAAATGAGGGAATGAAGATTTTCCTAAGGTAATGGCATAGTGATTTGTCTTAAAGCCCCCTGTGTACCATCATTAGACATTAAGTACAAGGAGAGAAATGAATACCTCCTGAACAGAAATAAGCTTGATAGGAATTATCTAACAGTCTTTCCCATTCTCCAAGTAGTGTGTATGAATGGAAACTTAGCAAGTACAAACCACTAACAGCGTTCATAACAGAGATGTGAACTAGAAGAGTAGTTTAAAGAAGAATATTTTTCAAATTGTGGATCATGACTCATGAGTAAGTTGTGGCCTGCGTTTTGTTTTCAAAAAAGGATAAGAGATGCAAAGAGAAAAAGAAGAGGGAATACACCAAGGTCTATCACATGTAGTAAGCATAAGGATTGTTTCTAAGGAAACTGTCTTTCACTTACAATGTACTGGTATGTGAGAGTATATTGGGTTCTGGGGTAGAACGTATTTTCAAAAAAGTTTGAAAAATGTTCTAACTATTATAATCTCATTGTTGGGGAAATTCAATGTATTTGTACATTTGAAGGGGATTTACTTCAACATAGCATAGTAGTTGAAGGCAAGATTCTGGAGCCAAAGTTCCTGGTTCAAATCCTGACTCTGCCGCTTATTAGCTGTGTGACCTTGGGCAAGTTACTTCACCTCTCTGGGCCTCAGTTTCTTTACCTGTTAAATGGGAATGCTAATGATCCTATTACATGGGGTTATTATGAGAATTAAACAAATTGTTATATGTAAAGCGCTTAGAGCAATACCTAACACGTAGTACAGGTTTTAGCTATTATTATGCTGTCACTAACCAATAATGTGAACTTGAGTATGTGACCTAACTTCTGTGGGTTTCATTTTTGTTGGTAAAAAGTCTCCAAAGGCCCTGCTGGCACCAACATTCCAAGAAGGGTTGGGAGGTGGTTTCCCTACACAAACCTGGAGGAAAGAAATAGCCAAATGCAAATCATCCATCCTGTAAAATGGACACCTTTGAGGTCTCAGCAAAGCAGCCTGTTCCAAAGAAAAAACCCCATAAGCCAACTTGTTATTATCTCTCTAAATTACATGCAAAGGTGAATTCAGGATGGTGAGGGATTGACCAAATTAAGGAAAATGCTCTTTTTTTCCATCCATCAGACCCTTCATGACCAGCATTGGCTTCCTGTCTCTCCCATTGCCATGTATTTTATTCCATATACTGGGATAACCACAGCTGGGGTGAGCAGGAAATCTGTCCCCATGTTTGTTTGGTTTTTTTGTTTCCAACATTCCTGGCCGTGAAGTACAGTGTGAGGCTGTCCCGCAGTTGGTCCGGCGTTGGTCACAAGTCACCTTTCACTGTGGAATTTGAAGTCACGTCTAGCACCAAAGATCATGAAAAAAAATTCCATTTACTTTCACACACACACACACACACACACAAGAAGCCAACAGAAAAATAGGTGAAGTTATTACTGATTATTTACAAATAAATAAAAATGGTCAGTAATAATGTTCTGTTCAGCCTCATTTGTATTGATAATTAAAGAAATGCACATCAAGACATTGAGATATCTTTTTTCACCTATAAAAGAAGCAAACTAATTAAAGTTAGAAAGGATGTGGAGAAAAGGATGTGGGGAAATAAACATTCTCATGCACTTATGAGAGTCTAAATTGGTGAAACTTCTCTGGAGGACAATTTTGCCATAAATAGCAAAAGAGTAAATGTGCATAACCTTTGACCAGCCCTGAAACTATGAAGGCATTGAACTAAAGCAGCCTATATATAGACTTCTCCTCGGAGGAAAATAAAGTCCTATTTGTTTAATTTCTTGTAGGCTTAGACACACATAAAATTATAGTCAGGTATTCTATTCCTTGCAACCTAACACATTCCTGATTGATAAATCTGAAAAGAAGGGGGGTGGGGGTAAAAGAGGACATTCTTATCTTGCACTAATTTTAACATGAAGCCTTCTAGTATTTTCCTATTGAGCATGATATTGGCTTTGGAACTGAATTTCACTCTTCACTTTGATCATACTACAGAAGTGTTGATCTATATTTGTATGATGAATTTTTTCTAATAGCTCTAATCTATGGTGATGATATCTCAGTTTTTCTTTTTTGATCTATTTGTGATGTAATATTCTTCTGATGTGCTACTGAGATTCTGTGTCAATATTTTATTTAGGATTGCGAAAACTGTATTCATAAATGAGATTAGTGTGTTACTTTATTTTCCCCTTTTTAATGAGTTATTTTTATTGTATTTTTGACTGATATATTACTACTGACTTAAGAAAAAAAAGAATTCCACCCATTGAGGGTTTTTTAAATGTAAATCACTAAACTTTTTATTTCTACATATTGTATTCGTACTTTTTCAAATTTGCCTATTTTTTCATAGTGCTATGTTCTATCATTCTGTCTCTGTAATTATGTTGAAGGTAACTATTTTACAGTCTTTTTCAAATTGTTCTACTGCCTCAAGTTCTTAAGGGGCTAATTTCCTGTTTATTACTGATCCAGTCCCGCATGTGGTTCATTGCCTAGTTGGGTTTTTAATTCTTATTATAAACTCATCTCCAATGGAATTTGTTTTATCTGTTAGAGATCAGAAAAAACAACTGTGCTTTGCATCTACTTCTGACAGGACTGAGGGGATTCCTCACTTTGGAACCAGCTTTTATATTCTTTCTTGACTTCAGGATGGGTAATATAGATTGGGACCTCACACCTAAGCATGACAGAGGCAGACTAGTGGTTTCGGTTCCTACAGCACACATTTTTTAATTCATTCAGAGCCCCCAGACAAACCACAGACTTCCTTGCTGTGGCACTCCTAAGATCCTTCCCAGGGTGTCGGCTTTAGGCAGGGGTCTCAAGTTCAGATCTCTGCTTTTCTAGAATACAGGGCTTGAGTTGGTACCAACCCCAGTCCTCAGCCATTTGTGTTTATATTCATGTCAAATACCCCTATTTGTCTTTGAGTTCCTTCTTCCTGTCTCACACCTAGTTATCCCCCTTTCTTTCTTTCAATTGTTGATTTTTTTTTCAGCATTTTTGTGTTCAGCAGAGGTTCCCTGAATTCCCTTCATGTTCCCAGAAGTTGAATCTTTGTACTTTCCTATCTTTTAAAAACCATTTCTAGGGCTTCCCTGGTGGCGCAGTGGGTGAGAGTCTGCCTGCCAATGCAGGGGACATGGGTTCATACCCTGGTCTGGGAAGATCCCACGTGCCGCGGAGCGGCTGGGCCCGTGAGCCATGGCCGCTGAGCCTGCGCGTCTGGAGCCTGTGCTCCGCAATGGGAGAGGCCACAACAGTGAGAGGCCTGCGTACCGCAAAAACAAAACAAAACAAAAACAAACAAACAAAAAAAACCCTTTCTAGAATAAGCACAGGGTGCTGGAAACTACATGGCAGGTGGGGGGGGGGGTGTCTAAATCAGGAGTGCGGGTTCAAGGAAGACTTCCTAGAGGAGAAATCACCTGTTCAGCAGACCTTAAGACTGAGCACACATTAGCCAGGCAAAGAAAATGTGTGTGCATCAGGGGTGACAGGTTGGATGAAGAGGTGGGGTGAAGGCTGCAGGCAGGAAGATAGAGCCCATGTGAACATCCAAGGGGGGAAAACAAACCTCATATCACATTCTGAGAAGCACAAGTTCCAAGAACTACAAGAAGTTTGGCGTGGAAAATGGAACGAGATACGCGCTTGAGGAGATAAGTAGGGGCCAGTTCATGAACGACCATGGGCCTGGTTAGAACAGTGGACCTTGTGCTGAGAACAGAGTGGAGCTGAAGCTGACCATCAGGTCATGGAGAGTGAAATCACCAGGTTTGAAAGAAAAACAAAAGTAATAGATGCTGCTTGTATAAGCAAATATACACAGCCAGTTAGAAAATGCTAAAACAACTTTGCACACGGGACAATCCCAGAGGGCATTCAAGCACGAACCTTGGCGTTCCACCATGCATAACCCTGACTTCTTACCCCAAGGAGTACAAGGCATGCTAGTGGTGCTCAGTCCAGGGTCCCCACATCCCAGGTATTTCCCCCACCTGCTTTGGGGTAGGTGGGTGAATACCCCACCTATCCAACTAGCAGACGTTTTGGAAATACATCGCCCTTTCAAGAATGTTTGCCCAGATCACCCTATTCCCCACCCTTCCCCACCAGCCCCCAAAACTCTGCCATAACTGTCCCTGATGTAAGGAAAGAGCTGTGCGCAGCTGCAGAAGCTTGAAAACAAGAGTAACCTGGGCCAAGGGCCAGGGGGTCTATTTTTAGAACTTGTTCTCATTGCCTGTTTATCTTTCAGACCCAGCCTAATGTCTTCCAGGCGACTGTTAAAGCTATTTGGCTGGCTTGCCGAGGAGAGGAAGAAGGTGATCTAAAACCAAACTGCAGTGGCAATGGTGATACTCATTCGGACAGTGTGTTCTCGTAATTGCCCCCAATGTACCCTCAATGCCGTTTGATTCCCGCTAGGTAGGATTTATTCAAGCCCTTCCCAGCCACTTTTACTGGCTGTGGAATTTGGCCAGGTCACAAAGAGAAGATAATAGGTTATGGATTTCATAACCCATCAAGTATGACCAGGGTGCTGCTGTCCCTCCTGGCCTTGTTCCTCGGGTCTAAAATAGGGGTCTAACATCCCAACTGTAAACAGGCTTCAGACAGTAAAGCGCCCTCTACAGATAAAAGCATTTAGTCATGACTCTCCTTTGTGCCTGGTTACTAAGGAAAAGACAACGATGCATTCATTTATCATAGCATTTGGTGAGTTATTTTAATCCACTCAAGCGGCAAAAGAGAAAAGGGCCGGCGTTGTGTCTCGATTTATATTTCCCTCCAGAGAACAAAATAGGTGGCCCCTGGAATTCCACAGCTTGTAAAACGCGCCGCGGAAAACGCTTGTAGGCGTGCTGGAACTTAACCCCTTCCTTTCCGCCGGCCCAGAACGAATTTTAAGGGCGCCTTCCCCCGACTCCCTGTCCATTCGCCCTAGATTACTCCAGTAGCCAGATTCCGTCTCGCCCGATCACCCTCCAGTTCTGCTGTCCCCTCTGCAGTTTCTGGGGTGGTCGATGGGCAGACCCCTGCGGCGGACCCTGGGTCCAGCCCCTCCTAACCCTCATGGTCCACCTTAAGGAGCCTCCGCGGTCGGGAGTAGAGGCGGGTGTTTTGTTCTTATAAGGAGGAAAAGTTTCTTTGACATCCAGGAAATGAGTAAGTCTGAAGCCCTTTAGAGCCTGTTGATGGGGGCCAGAAGGCGGGAGCCGGCCGGGGTATCGCCGTCCCCGTGCCTCTAATTACCGGGCCGGACGCTCAGCCGCAGCCGCCGCCAGACAGCGGATTCGGGGCTCCCGGGACCCGCGAACGCAGCCGGGTCTCGCGCGGTCTCTCCGGAGCCGGAGAGCGGGGACCAAAGCTGAACGTAAGTACTGGGCCCGCGGCCGCGAGGCTCTGCGTCTTCCCCGGGCATCTCGAGTGCTGGAAGGAAGAAGAGGGACCAGGCGGAGCTGCGCCGGAGATGGAGGAGGATTGGAGCGGGGTTCCCGCCCGGCCCTCCCAGGTCTGGGCTGACTTGGGGAACCCGGTTACGAGCAAAAGAGGGGATGTTGTCCTCTCCCTCCTCGCGCCGCGCGGGGTCCTGCGTCCCAGCCTCTCCGCTCGGGCCTCTCCCGGGCCGCGGAGACCCCAGTGGGCGCTTCGTTGCAGCCCCGCGCGGCTGGCAGCTCCTCCTTCGCGCGCACCGAGCCGCGGTGCCGGAAGCGGGACCAAGTTGCTGTGTCTACCGCCACGAAGATCCGTTACTTTCGACCTTGCGAGCAGAGTGCTAGAGCTGAAAGAGTGGTCGAGTCGTCCTGCTCCTTCGCTCCCTTCCCTCCTTCCTTCCCTTCCTGGAAGAGTAGGTGTGAAGCCTGTTTTTTCTCGGTTTAACGTAGTGAAGCTATGAGGTTGCTGGAGCCGATTAAAGCCCCCGCCGCTTCCTCTTTCGGGCCTATTAGTGGAAGAGACCCCACGCCGTGCAGAACTTTCTCTTGGTGCTGCAGCTAGTCTGCCACCTGACCTCTGATAGCATCCCCAGACCCCTTCCCAGAGTTTCCAACTTCCTGGCTGCCGGGTGGAGGGACTCAGACTCCCCAGGGCTGGGCTTCCCATTCAAAATGCTCTTTCTCTTTAAAAACAAAAATGCTGCCTCCCAGGAAGGGAAAATATTTTACTGAACCTCTCAGGGACCACGCTTTGCCTTTTGCTCCTCTGACTGGCTTGAGCACCACCCCTCCCCCCCCTCCCCCCCCCCCCCAAAAAACTAGAAGAGTACCAGCCACTGGCAGATCCTGGACCCTATCCTTTTGGATCTAAATCAGTTTCAGAGTCCTGTTCTTTTTTTCTTTGTTCCTCTTTTGGGTTTGACCCAGGGCCCTTCCCTTTTACAAACCAGTTCTACCCCGGAGAGGCTGCCAGGTAAAGTACATCTGTGCTGGATGCAGTCACAGGTCCAAGTCAGCCTGGACAATGGCCTGGTAGACAGGTAGAATAGCTGCCGTTCATCTCTTATTAATAACGCAATAGGCTGTGCATTTGAATCCTCATTCCAGCCTACGTGCCTAAGTGGCTTTCATTGTTTGCTAATTCCCTGTGTGTGCTGCTCTTGGCCATCCTGCCCTCATATTTTCCACTGTGGGTACCATAAAGTGGTTAGACTTACTCTCCACTGGAAAGGCTTTTGTCCAAGCGCCATCCTCTAGCTCCGCAATCTTCAAAGATGCAGCAGTTTCAAGCTCCAGCTTTCGGGTGGCAAAGGATCTGAACTTTTATCCTCATGCCGTCAGCCCAGAAGTTGTCACCTTACCAAGAACGCCTCCTGGCTCCTGCAGTGCCCATGAGGGAAACGAAGATGAGGGTGTGTGGGTGAATTTTTTATCTGAGGGCAAGAAAGGGGAGGAACTTCTGGTAGAGACCTCTGGCAAAATTGCCCACCTGAGAAGGTATCATCTGGGAGGAACCTGGTTTTGTATTTTTTCCTTCTTGGACCCCCTGGGGTCAATAAAGAGAAAGAAGATGGGGGATTCTGACTGAGGGAAAGGGTGCACATCTGGGTGGGGGTCTGGAGTGCACAGCCCTGTTGTCACTTGTCCACAGGAGAGAGGATGGAATGCCATGGAGGGTCTGGAAGGTGCTTCTTGTGAGGGAGAAGGGAATGAACTGGCAATATTTCCCCCAGGTTTGAGAAGCCTAGGGGGACTGGGCTCTGGCCTTCAGGAATCTCCAACATTGTCCCTTGAGAAGAGGAGACTTGCTCTTTCTGGCCTCAGAGACTCACTGGGTGGGAGAAGCAGGAGGCAGATCTTATTTACTTAGAAGTAAGGGGGAACTTGCCGACAACTAGAGCTCCTCAGTAGGTAAAGCGCTGCCATCACTGTCAGCAGACAGGTGGCCATCAACAATTACGAAGAAGGTCCCTTCAGAGTCCAAGACGCTGTGGCTCCATGTTTGGGGTGCAGAGTCCCCTCAATAGGAGGGCAGCCTCTGGGGGATCCTGGGGAAGGCTTTACCCCCCCGAGCATCCTAAGGGAGGGGCAAGTGCTCCAGGTGTGCTGGGCACCTGAGGAGCAGAACCGTACTTGTGGCTGGGGCTAATCTTGTCTTGCTGCGGAGGGGGACATAGCTGTGAGAGTGCCGAGAGCTGATAATAACCTCCAAGGCTGCTGCAAGCCTGCTCCATCCTTTGCATGAATTAGAATAAGGTGCTTCCTCTTGGCAAGAGGATGGCACCCTGGTGCCATTTAGAAAAAGGGGCCTCATCTGGGTGCACAGAGCCAAGGCACATAGCTGGGCAAGCAGCACGCGAGCTGGGTTCATCCTCACCACCCCGCAGCCGGGTGTTCTTGAGCAGTGTACCACCCATACAACTGTACACAGCAGCCCTGATAACCAACAATTAGTGAGGGCTTAACATTTGTCAGGCTTTTTTTTTTTCCAAAACCACTTTGTCTCTCTTAACTCATTTAATCTTCTCAGTAGCCCAGTGACATAGGTATTGGTATCCCCATTTTATAGTCAAGGAAACTAAGGCACAGAGAAGTAAAGTATTCAGAATGTTCCAGTCACTGAGCATTCATGGAGCAAGAAGCAGGTTAAGCTTCAAAAGCTAGTTTGGTTGGGGGGCCCTCATGAAAAAGAGAGAAGGGCGGTTGCTCTTTTTCTTTGTCAAAGGAAGTAGTACCTGCTCTCAGCTCAGATGGAAAAAGACCCGTAAAACTCACCTGGCAGCCAAAAGAAAGGAAAGAAAGAGGCAGGCCTGGCCTCGGGGGCTGATGGAGTGGCCTGGCCCAAGCCTCAGATGGCTTTCCTTCTTAATCGCTAGGCAGTATGAGGTCGCAAATCCAGTTTGGGGCCTGGCATGAGGGTGATGAGTAAGTGCTGCCTGGGTGTGGTGCAGAGGAAAGGCACCACGCAGGTCCCCTGAGCTAGGCAGAGAACGCCTGTCGGAGTGGACGATGGGAGAAGTATCTGAACACGCTGTCCTGACACTTCCAAGCCCCACAGGGCCCATCCCTGTCCAGTACCGTTCACGTGCAAATGCCCTTCCCAGGCTCGTCCAGGAAGACTTTCCAAAACTCCATTTCACAGCTCCATATATATGGTCATTTATTTTTCACACTATACATTTCAGCACTTAATTAGGTGCAACAGAGGGTTTTACTACGTACTGTCTATATTTTAAACAAAATAGCCTTCTCAACTAATGGGAAAGTCACGATGTCTCCTGGAAAGGGTCGGCTGGTGCCTAGCTGATTTCCCAGAAGGGTGGTGTTTACCTGCAGTCATGTCACCTGTCCCAGAATCTGGCTCTTAGCTGTGCCCTCTAGAAACCCCATCTCCACAGTTTTCAGAACGGTTTGGACTTGGGCTGCTGCGTCATCTCAAGAGAGCTCCCCAAAGTGAGTGTACAAATAAAATTGCTAGTGTATTAACTTGCAAGGAGACTTTGTGACTATCGTGCAGCCTGAGTGATACCTGCTTCTTGCGTCCTGGGCAAGGCACATGGGAAACCAAAGATCAGAAGGCAGCTTCTGCTTGGCAAAGCTGGATTCAGATCAGGGGAGGGAGAGGGCAGGGGGAGTGATGGTCCAATAGCATGGGCTCTGTTCACTTCTGTGGTTCCCTCACCAGTGGAGAGATACCTGTCAGGTAGACTAGCACTCCTGTATGCTATGTGTATCTCCTTGGCCAGTCCCTCAAAGGCAGTGTACCGGTAGGATTTCTCCCTGTCCTCTTTCATAATTTAGCAGTTTTTATTTTATTTACTTATTTCATTTAGTGCTTTCTAAGCATTAGCTCCCGACTACACTGAGTTGCTTTTGCATAAGTTAAATAACTACTATAAAATTTCAGGGTTGTAGGTTCAGGCCACAGGGGCAAATGCTGCACGCATTTCAAATCAAGGGGGTGGTCAGGTGACCTGGATGGGTCAACAGGAAGTCAAGCAGAGCAAAGAAACATGGTCCCCAGTCAACACGGATGCTCCAGGGCTGGCCACTTACTGCAGCCCCCGTGTGGGCATGGGCGTGGTGAAGCAGTCCTGAGTGCTTTGCTTTGGCTGCCTTAGCCACCTGGCCTGCCCGGCTGGCCTCTCTGGATTTAAAGGGCTCTCCTTGGTCTCTGTCCAGGCCCCCTCATGGCTCATCTTTAGAAAGCCACAGCCTCCAGGTGCCGCAGAGCCAAGGAGGTAGGACTCACATGGGCTTTGGAGTAGGGAAGGCTTGGGTTCAGTCCTGGCTCCACTGCTCAGGAGTTGGGCGTTCTCAGCAGTTGGGCAAGTGTGTTGACTACTCCAAGCCTCAGCTCTGTCACGGGTAAAATGTGGATAACCCCTCATAGGGCCTGCTTATGAAACACTGAGCACAGTGCCTGGTGCAGACCAGTATCTAGCTAGTATGAGCTTTTAAAGACAGTAGAGGTCAATGGAGGATCTACATTCTCTGCCAGATTGGGACCCTCACTTCCCCCATTAGTGCCACTGCTCCTTCCTCGGAGGTCTGGGCAAACGGCAAGGCCACAGGGACCCAGATTATCCCAGATGGTGAGAAGGAGATCGTTGGTGCCCTTGCGTGGGGTTCATTCAGAGCTGAGGATAATGCTGCCCATCCCGACCTTTTGACTGACACTTGAAGAGGGAAAGTCAGGTTTGAGGCACGGCCTAAACAGGCATCCAGAGGGGAGAGAAAGGGGAGAACGTTTTCTGGGACAAGAAGAGCATCAGTTGGTTGTGCCCGAGAGGTGTATAGGATCCTCCCGAGCAGTTTGGGACCTGTGACGTTTTCCTGTAGATAGCGCATCCCCCTCCACCCACATGGCCTACCCCATGACGTCAGCCATGACGTCAGCAGAATGGAACACCACACAGGTGATGTCGCTGTTGCCCAAGGCAACACCTCCACCTTAAGTCAGGCTGGGGGGGGTGGGGAACAGGAACCACCCAACTGTAAGGCACGTTGATGAGGGAAGGAGCTCAGAAGGCATTACATCCACAGGTATGTTTCTTAGAGGATGGGCCAGGGGAAGAGGGCGGGGCTGCAGGCCACAGGTCTGGGCTATGAGCCAGTTGGTGGAAGGCCTTGGATTTGCCCCGAGGGAGCACAGCACCGCTGTCAGCATGCTATCTTGTTTAGTTCTCTGAACTGCAACTGGGGCAAAAGCATGACTCCTAAGGGGCTTCTGGTGGCTTCCATGGCTCTGGGTCTCCCTTCTACAGCCTGAATCAATCCGTGAAGGGTGTAGGGCAAGAGCGGGCCAGAGCAGTGATGGGGAGATCAGAGAAGTGCTTTCCCTTCTTCACCAACCCCCGCTCCCCCAAAGGAAAGTGAGAAACGAGGCTGCCCACGTCCTTCCTGTGGGGGCTGACTTAAGAGAGAACCTTCATTCATTGATGGAGCGAGTATGTACTTATTGTGCACCTACGATGTGCCAGGGCCCTTGCTGGGGCTCCTGTGGCCTCAGAGCTTGCGGATCAAATGCACTCAGAGGAGGAATGTCCGGAATCCACTGCCCCAGGCATAGGTACCAGCTGGAAATAGAAGCAAAGTCTCAGAGTTCACCTCTCACCCAGCTCTGGCATTCCCTATGGGATTCTAGGTGGGCTAAATGAGACCTGTGGAATCCCTTCCTCCCCAGCAGTTTATGCAGGAATTTGAGGGTGTCTGAGATGTACCAGAGATTTGGTGAGTGGTGTTAGAGAGGACAGCCGTGTTCACAGTGTCCTGCCTAAGGACAGAATCCCACAAACTCTGAGTGTCAAAGGTGAGAAGACAACAGGCAGACCACCAACCCCAGGTCCCCTCCTGCTCTGTGATATTGACAGACAGGGCTCAGTTTCCCTGTCTGTTTAATGGGGACAGTAATGGCCAGTACCAGGTCATATTCAGAGCACTTTGAGATCCTCTGATGGAAGTCCCAAGAAAAAAATTCAAAGCCCACAACGTTTAACTGGCTCACTTCCAGGTGAATAACACAGTGGGGCACTCTGCTGCCCAGGAGGAGGGGCTCCGCTTGAAGCCCAACTGGACTTTCTCCCTCCAGGTTATTTTCCTGCAGCAGATGCAGGAGAGTCTCCTACCAACCTGCATCAAACCAAAGGGAGGGCGTTATCATTTTGGCCCTGCTGGTTGGTGCAAAGCCACGTGCTCCTAACTGTTCTCCTGGGAACCTGTTTCAATAGCCTTCTTAGTAGCAGTCAGGGGACCTGCCTGGAGTTCATGAAAAGGTCCTTTGTTTGCTGAGACTTTGTTTCAGAGTCACTGAGGAGGCAGGCATGCCTGGGCTGGAGGGGAAGAGAGTGGGGGTGCCTGGGTCCCACCCCCGTGTGCTGCCCTGGAGGCCCCCATGCATCCATGCCTCTTCCTCCTGATGCCTCACCCTCAAACCCACCGCCCAGGGTTAGAAGAGACCTCACTCCTTTTTCCTAATCCATTGCAGAGGAGGCTTCCCCAGGAAAAGCCATCTCCAATATCCCAGGCCACACTCCCAGAATCTCTGGGTGGAAGGAACATCATAGGTTCATTAAGTCTGACTCCCTGCTTCATGCCCATATTTCACCTAAATTGTCACCTGCTTTTCCCTAAACAGTGCAGGGAAGGAAAGCCCACAGGTGCATGACTGATGTTTCACGGGTCACTGAGCAACATGGTGTCATGGGAAGATCGGAGGCT